CACACACACACACACACACACACACACACACACACACACACACACACACACACACACACACACACACACCCCGCCGGGTTGTACAACAGACACGACAAAGTGCACGATGAGCGGAGCCCACCTCTGGAGTCCTCCGCACTACCGTCCTTCCACTCACAGGCGGCAATTGGCGGCCTATATACGGGCATGCAGCCGGGTGGTTGCCACGCAGTCTCCTGGCCGAAGCGCATCCGCGGGTAGCACCAGAGGTCGGTCGCTTTTCAATGACTTTTTTTTGTTTCCCCCTTGTTCATTTTCCTTTTAATATGTTATTCTTTTTTGGTTTGTTTTTTTTCCCACCCCCATCCGGATTCTGGCCATGCGCTTCACGCCATCCACGTCGATACACACACACGCACAGGCGCTGCTGACATCGGTTCCGATGGCCCTCTGACAACAGAAAATGTAAAAAAAAAAACCAAAAAACTTAGGGTTAGGGGGTGGGGGGTTGTTTGGGGTTCACATTAAGCAGAAACCCACCCACCCCCTGACAAACACATATCCCCTAACCCGCGCCGAATTCACCCACCCACCCCCCGACAATGACAGGACGACGCGGTATTCACTTGGACGAAGGGTCTGTCTCCACACCACCGCCGGGGTGCGGCATGGAAGGTGCTGACCTCGCCGCCATGACTGCCACGAGACTTTGCAGGACCATGTTCCCATCCTGCATGGCGCCGGCAACAGCGTCAATTTGGACCGCCATGTCACCCATCCGGGAAGAAACCATCGCTGCACTTTCAGTTGTTGCACGTGCAAACGCAGATGACGCTCTGTCCAGTCCATCATTTAGCCTCGTCGTGGAATCCTCCATCGCTGTCATCATTCCAACATTCGATGTCGTCGCCTCACTGCGTGCTCTACCAGAGGATGTCCTGCGTGTCTTCCTCCTGCCGTTCGATGCATCCGTGCATCTTCCTTCCGATCCCCCCCCGCAAGCCTGCCCAGAACCACTTCCCCCGAGCTCCTCAGACGCTAAGGTGTTGTCACATGTGGCGGACGCCTTCAGGCACCACCACTCCATAGCATCCCACAAAGGTCGTTCAAACGTCGAGCACACCTCCCTTTCCTTTCGCTCCTCCGTCGTCATGTTGAAATACCCGGCCGAACCCGATCTTTCACACTTGTCCCTGATCAAAGCAACCGTGTCCCTCATAGAGTTCCATTTCTTCCTACAGTCTTCCGATGTCCTAAAGAAGTTCTCGTCACGCATGCTGTCGGAGATCCACTGGAATCGCCCCTGCTTCGTCTTGTGCTTATGCACACCGCTCGCATCAGCCATGAGAGCATCGTCCTCACCGCAGATCCTCGCCAGCATGATACGCTCCTCCAACGACAAAGGCACATGTTTCTTCGTCGTGCCCTCCGGTCGGGGAGCCTGTCTGGACCGGCCACCCCTCCCTCCTTGGCTGTTTTCTGCCGTCGACGGGGCGGCCCCCGCTTGTGCGGGACTGGATGTGGGCGCCGCATCGCTGCCACGTCTCTTTCTTGTCGAAGATTCTGTCTCCGTCTGAGGTTGGTCGACAACCGGACTGCTGCGCCGGTCGTCAGATGTATGAACCTCACTACAAGGCTGCCTTGTTTCTTATGCCGGGAAGTCATATCTCCCACCACCCACTGCGGATCCCGGTGCGTCGTGCCCTGCCCGCCACCCCGCGGACGTTCCATGACCGACTCCCACTTGCATGCTGCCTGCAGACTACAAACCATCTGCGACTGTCGGTCGATGCACCGGTGGAGAGGATGATGATCGGCTACGACTATTCATCAGCCTTTGACGAGAACCCACGTCGGTGACGTCATTCACATTCCAGTTGGCAGTCGGTGATGGTAGGCGCTGCTGGCCCGTGGATCCCGTTCTCAGTTGCATGCCAAATGGAGATGCCAGCAGATTCTTGTTCTGCGCTCCACGCCAAGCTCGTACATGACCCTCCTACCCGTCACCACGTCCCCACAAGCCGAACACAGGCGAGAATCCCGGGCGAGACGGGTCGCCAGCTTCCTGCATCCTGCAATACGAACGTGCATCCACGTCAGACCATCCTCCGTGATCGGCACCCAGACCTGATACATGACCACCACCTCCCGGACCCGACGGTGTGTACAGCGACTGAGGCTGCACTCCGTGTTCGACAACGTCGAACTGTGTTTGACACCAACTTCGCCCTCCACCACGGTGTACCGACCTGTATCGGTCGGCATGGCTGTCCACGCACTCTTCTGACCCCCCGTATGCATGCCGACTGTCACGACGCTCCACGTAACGTGTGTCCCCTGCATGTCCCAGCTCCATCGTCGCTGGGCCGTCATAATCGCCCATCAGCTCCGACGTGAACCCCCCTCCGTCCATGTCTCTATCTCTCTCTCTCTCTCTCTCTCTCTCTCTCTCTCTC